AAGCCTCAAATGCCAGATCTTCTGGATCACCATGCGGACCTCGCCAACGAGACTAAATTAGGGCGCACTTCTCCATAGTAGTGTTAGCTCTCGTCGAATCCCCGGAGTTCCACCAGATGCGCTCGCCTCGCTTCTTCTCTCCTTGCATGAAAAAGTGCCCCAACCTCTGTATTTGTCAACAATGCGATTTTTCTTTCCCTGGATGAAACAAGGGTAGAGCGGTTGCGCGTTTTACTGTATGATTGTATGAAGCTGAGATCCTGACGCAGTTCTGTCGCCGCATTTCCTGTCAAAAACCTTGACACTTAAGCATTTCCCACATTTTCCATTTTTGGACTGTTGCGGTCTCATACATTTCCAGAAATACGCTACTTTTCGATCTGGGGAACGTATTCATACATTCCTCTTCACGTGTGATAAATATTCGTACATTCAGCTCTGTATTTCCGTATGGGTGGCGCCGAACGATGTGGAGGGACCACAATTTCGCAAATATCTGAGTAGCGTTGGTTTTTAAATATTTCCCCAAGTTGCTCACGGTAGTAAAGACGTCAAATAACACGACTCACTGATGACTCAAGATCAACTTGGGAGGTGATGAGGTCATGAATCATCAGAGACAAGGGAGCTAATAGAACGCAGACAAAGAGGCTCTGAGGTGAAGGTGCTCCCACCGCTACTATATAGGGATTGGTTATCCCCAAGTTGTCGTAGGTAAGAAGTCGTTTTCTTCTTGTTGTTGACTGATTCCCTAACAGGTGTCTTCATCTTTTTTCCTCCATATGGTCACTCTCCCTTACTCTACCGATCGGGGAATCTTAATGGCTCGATGGACTTCGCGGCCAGCGTCGGCAACAAAAAAGCGATTGAGGATTACGTGGAATGAGTCGAGGATTCACGGAAGTTGACATGACCGCCGGCGATCGATGGGAGGGAACTCTCAGTGGTCGTGAGCGTTCAACGGAAATATTTAAGGAATATCTTCAAAAATAGCGCGGTATAGAAATTTACCTGGCCGGCAGATGTTTTTGACCTTGGACCAGAGCCAACAGAATACTTCCTATGGCCGGCATAGTCAGCTCGCCTCGATGAGAATTTCGTTCGCCGAGACCCAAATCGACAATCGCCAATCGTCGGCGCGACCGCCTGGAAAATTTATTGAGAAGCACCTTCTGAAATTTGAAACAATCAAGGCGAGCTTCAAAAGTCGACAGAGTCCGAGCTGTGAAACCCAAAGTTAGCCCTATTACAGTTACTGTAAAAAATACGGTGTTTTTTTTGCTTTTGAAAGAAAAAAGATCGATAAACCGAGAAAAATCAATTCCAATTAATGTTTGTATAACAGTAGGAAAGTAGGGGTACCTTCAAGCTCGTTGGTACCGGTTCGGTAGGCATACACGGATAGAAACACGAAAACATGGCTGGTACGGTATGTTTCCTCGTCTTCTGAACCATATGGATTTACTTATTGATCGCTATTGATCGACAAAATGACTCACCAACAATCCTGTGATCAGCTACAGTATTCAAATAGAATAGGGCTAAATCGGGCGAATCTACCCGTATTTCGGATTCGTTTTCGAGTAGCGCACCGGCTCGCGGATCATCCACCACCCGAACCGTTCGACGACGTGGATCTTTAATGCCCAATTACAATTCTGCTCAGAGATTTTTGTGAAGAAAAAATTCAGCAATTGACGAACCGCTACTGAACGGCGACAGAAGATCTGTGAGGTGATTTTCGCGTTGAGAATACTGGATGGCGGACATACGGATTTGATATCGAGTGTCAGGCTTACTGACTCTGAAATAAGGGGTTTACTCGAAACTAGGAAACCACGTTCCACCAAATCCAAGAGACGATGGGTAATTGAGGAGGGTTTTCCCTAAACCTCAGTCATCATATTAGGCTCCAAAGAAGGTTGCCGAAATGTTAGTCAATAAATTCTGTATCGAACTCAAAGGCTGGACAACAAACGCTGAATTTTACTACAACTATTCCGAAATTAAAGGAGAGATGACTATGGAGCAAAACCACAGTTACATCTAGGGAGGTCTACGCTGCCTTTTTGTGCATGAAAACTGTGCCAAATTTTGACGAATAACACATGAATAGGTGAGTGAATAATACAGCGAACTGAACTGTTCATAGGGCATGACTTATGGGATACCACTAATATATGTAGAAACACCCGGTTTTTACGTTGTAAGCAACATTCGGCCTATAGACGGGGTTTGTATTGACTTTTATTCGTAGTTTCTCAGACAAACCCTAAAAAAATCAATGCTTAGGCCACAAACCTGTATTCGTCGGTGATCTTGAACACTGATGTGATTGCCGTTTGGAATACCCCGCTACTTGACGGTGGTGTACCGTACAGAAGACATTCCTTACCTGAAAAAGCAAACCTCATCCAATATGTGGCAGAAAAACCTCCACATAGTGAATTTGTAACACCCTTGTTATTTGAGCTTGATAACAGTTTAGTGGGTTCAAAATCCATAATTGTATCTTTATCCTTATCGCATGTAGCGCACAGCGGGCGTAATAGCAGCATGCCTTTACTGCTGCCCAGAAAGCGCCTTCTCTCATGAGTACCCTGATATTCCGTGAGAGTGAAAATCCGCAGAGCGCCAACTCCTCGTCTGGAAATGTCATCCGATCTTCTTCGAAGAGCTGTAAAGCGTCGCCAGCGGACGAGGCAACCGGGGTTCCGCTGCGACTTGTACCCTCTTGGATGGTGCGAGAGAGTGGATGTGAGAGTGAGTTCCAATCCTCAAACAAACAATAAGAACTCATCGACGGATTGAGTTTCATCACCCTCGTTAGCCTCACAGAACGATCCATCGAGGCTGGACTGCGTCACCAAAAGCGGTATCCTTCCGAAAGCGCTATTCAAAAAGCGAAATTCGTAAACGGCACCAGAAA